AATGATCTTATTTGTTTTTAAAAAAAATTATTATTAAAAATATCTTTTATAAATATAATTTGCATACAAATGTAAAATAAATTCTTTTTACAAATGGACGTCAAAGAAAAAATTCAAAAATAAAAGAAAATTATAAAATTACAAAACATCTTTTAGTGAATACTAAAGCAAAAATGAAAAATTGTCAAATTAAAATAAATAAATAATAAATAAATAAATAAATAATTTTCAAATTGACTTTTTAATAAAATAACATTTTCTAAAAGATTATTACAAAAGAAGAAAATAAAAATGAAAAAGTAAACGTGAGACCAGACAAGAATTGAGGGGCAAAATGTTACTAATCATAACAAGAAAGGTTAAAAAGATAAAGATAATAAATAGTTATTTACGAAAAATTGTTGACTAATGGAGTTGACGAATAGAATAATCAATTTCAAACATTGCTTATAAATGTAGTGACCTTTGCATGAACTTTCACATAATTTGGTGAACTTCCGGATAATTAACTCAAATAATAACTATAATTGATTGACTCATAAAAAATGACTATTACTTTAGGACAAGATGAATAAATCAATTAGCTATTATTTTACTCATTTGAACTCTTTTCTTTTCTTTTATTTATTTATTTCTCTAAAAGGAGGCACAAGTTCAATTTTGCGTGATGAAAGCAAGTTTTGTAAAATCATATATGCTCCAAAATAGTACTCCTTCTGTCCAAAAATTATTATCCAGTTTGAGATCTCACTTTTAGTACAATTTGAACTAATAATGAGAACCCAAACTGGACAATAATTATGGAACGGAAGGAGTAATTCTTTAGGGTTCGATCATCAAGGTTTTTTTTTTCCCCCTAAAGTTATTGTTATTGTTTGTCTATTGTCAATAATTTCCCATGACAAAAGCAAAAAGCTGAATTTGTCTCGATTAGACTAACAAGAAAAACATTGGACAAACACCGTCCGTGTTTACTCTATCCATAATTTACAATGCCCTCGTCATACACGGCATGAATATCTGTTGTATATCTCTGATCTATAATCCTAGATAATGAGCATTTCATTCATTAACTTTTGGGTTTTTTTTTTCCCCCCGGATTGATTGGTTTATGCATTATTTGTATCCTTTGAATGACAAAATTCGTTTTCCTTCCATGGGGTCACTGATCGGGTCCTGCAGGCAGAAATCTTAGTTCCATAGAGAACATTGCAGCTTGTACCAGTTGTTGAGATTGTCGAGTTAAAATGTGATTGTAAATTAGTCGTGATAATTTAGTATTTCTTTAGTCCTGAAATTATTCCAATTAAAGTTTTGTTTTTAGTACAAATTATATTATAAATAAAAATTTATATTGGATCATTTTGAAACAGAAGGAGTATAAATTAATTTGTTGTTTGAGGGGGAATTAAACCTTCTAATTCGCTTAACCAAAAATTATTTTTAAGTATAGCAGGATTTTCTTTCTTCTTTTTTTTTTCCACCGCAAAACGATCGAGTTAATTGGGGAATAGTGAAGGGAAGTTTTTGGGTGTGAAATGAAAGTACATGAAACTATGAATTTCTTTTGTTAAACAAAAAACTTAGATAATATTATCATATAATAATTGACTCATAGGCAAAATGATACGATAAAGAACCAACGTCGGGGAGGGCATTTCACATGGAAAAGGAGGATTAGTTTTCATTTCCAAGATTTGGACAAAGACATGCAGACGCCAAAGCCACGCCAATCTCCTTATCTCCTCATCTTTGATCTTTCCTATCTCCCTTGCCTCACCCTACAAATAAAGTTTTCTGATTGTTCCATTTCACGCCCTCTTTGTTTCTTTGCTCCAATCCCTCAAATCAAATCACCAAATTGCGTCACATTTTATATACATAAAAGCTTAAAAAATGACCCCTTTGGTCATGGAAAACATATACCCCTAGCTACTATGAATGTCTATAACATAGATATTAGATATTATCTAGGGCTAAAAAAGATTTGCTTTTTGTCACAAAATGATTGTCTAGTTTAGATTTTTAATTTTAATATGATTTAAACTATAAATGAAATTCTAAATTAAATAATCATTTCCTGACCGAAAGAGTATTACGTCTTTCTTAATACTAGTTTGAAGGGGATTGTAAAAATAATACTCCCTCTGTCTCAAAATTATTATCCAGTTTGAGATTTTACTTGTAATAAAATTTGAATTAGAAATGAAAAACCAAACTGGACAATAGTTATGGAACAGAGGGAGTAGACGATAAGCGTCAAACGTAAACACACCAAAACTTTGGCGTGAATAATTTTAAATATACAGTATACTAGAAGACTGAAATGTGCGTGTTTTTGTAATAGTGACTTATGCAATATGTGATTAGTTGAAGACAACTCAGATACAAATTATATCTTTACGTAATATACTTTTCATAGATTTTTCATGAATTGAAACCTATTTATTGACCAATTGCTGATTCCATTGAGATTGTAATATTTTCTTTCAATCGTATATATGCTACTGAGTATAACTCATCTTTAATTTTTTTTTTTTTTTGAAAAAAAAAAGAAGAAAATGAGAGAAGAAAAGTAGTACTATAACTCATCCTTTTGAATATCTTGATTCTCAACCTCTGGTGGTTCTTTCCCTTGAATATATTCCGATCTCAATTAAGTAATTTGGAATGGAAAAAATATCTCATGCTTAGGTGTTTTCAGCAGTTGAGGTCCTTTTCCACAAACATTTAAACGTCACTTTCGAGATTTCAACGAAGGCCAATTTGCTGATTCGATTTTCACCAATTCCATGCGACTACCCTAATCAAACACTCTCTTGGGTTAAGTGGTAAAAGTATTGCTAGTTCATATTTTGACTTAAAGAATCGGTATCAATTAAAGTATTGGTTGAAAAAATCTCTTGTCTCTCGACTAAAATTTATCCAACTCGATTCGAATCAGTCTAGATATTAATTTTGAATATCGAGTGTATATTGTATCAAAATAAAAATATTCCAAACAAATCACTTTAAACTAATTATTAAATCCAGGCGCCAAAGTCCATCTGTGTCCATACAAAAATATACAACCGAAATCCAACAGGATATTATTGAAATGAAAATCCACCTAGTATAAATTATTATTATTCTACAAGCAACTTTCTAGATGTGATAATTACGTATCAAACATCAAGCTCATGAGAAGCTGTGATTTCTAAACAACTGGAAGGAAAAGGAAATTAATGATGTTTCGTTAAACTTGCGGCATTAGCAAGCATATATTCATTTCCAAGCAGAGAAAGTTTTGAAAATTTGAGGTTCACATTTAAGCCAAAAAACCCAGGATAACTGCAAAGCTACAGCTTCAATCTTCTCTGATTACTTCGTTTTTATTCTAATTAATATCGGGGGTTTTTTTTTTTTTTAAAAAAAGAAAAACTTGATCTTTGTGGCTCAGGATTTCCCTTATGAAGAAGTGATACATTGGCAAACTTTTAAAAAAATTTTCGGCCTATCGTTGGAAAAAGTTAATAATTAACTAGTTAGTATTATGAGTCCTCATTATTCTTGGAATGGAGATATTTATTATTAGCTACTCCCTCCAGTCCTTATTATAAGGCACTTTGATTTTGTCCTATATTTAATTTAAGATGTCTTTTTAATTGGAAAAAAAAATCCTTAAAAATATATTTTCATTGTATTCTCCTAATTATCATGAAATATTTTTAAGGTTTTTATTCCAATTAAAAAGACATCATAGGTTAAACATAGGACGAAATCAAAATATCTTATAATAATGACCGGAGGGAGTATTTTATAATAAGTGAGCTGGTTCCTATCTCGATTCCTCCATTACAGAACTCTATAAATTAACAGCGTTGGGCTCAATTTTTTTTATTAATTTATAAATTTTATCTATAAATTAATAATTATTATCCTATCAATAAATTAATATTTTATTAATTTAAAGGTTTTTTTCTAAATTTTTATTCGGAAACAAAATACTCAAACAACCCTATTTTCCATTTGTAATTATGATCCTATTATTTTTATTTATGGGTTGGAGAGAAAATTATAGATGAAAATTTTATCAAATGTAAATTTCAAGAAAAATCAAAACTCAATAGCCTCCTTCCTCCTTAAACCTATTTAACTTTTTCTCATTATTAATTTATGATTTTTAGATGACCTATATTTATATAAGAAGTTTTTTAAAATTTATTGTCTTATTAATTTATCGATTTTGCTTGAATTAAAACTGGTTTCAAGTTGGTATAAAAAATATTTATCATTTAATAGAGTTTCTTAGTTTATAAAGTATTAACTTAGGAAGTTTTTATTGTATATAGCTCTTTTTTTAAAAAATAACAAAACTAAAATGTACTTTTTCATTCTTATAAACTAAACAGAAGTTTTTATTGTATATAGCTTTTTTTTTCAAAAAAAAATAACAAAACTAAAATGTACTTTTTCATTCTTATGAACTAAACAGAACAACTTGGGCCTTTTTCATAAAAGGCCTAAACCTTTTGTTATTTTAAGCTTGGTCCAAAAAGATACATGATTTAAAGTAAAAAGGCCTAAACCTTTTGTTATTTTAAGCTTGGTCCAAAAATTCCAGTACCTTTTGTTATTTTAAGCTTGGTCCAAAAATTCCAGTATCCACAATCTCAATGTAATAAATAAATAAAGGCCTCATGTTTATTATTTTTGTGGGGCGAAACTCAAAATTTATTAATTTTGTTTTTCATATTTATATCCACCTGAACAGTAAAGTGATCCTAGAGTTGAAGTGGTGAACATTTGACTAAACTAAATGGAGCATTGGTGAGATTGTAGCCCAATTCACCTAACAAAGTAGCCCATATGTCTAGCCCACTAGAGCAAAGGCCTTATTGAATTCCATTCTCATACCCAAATACTACTACGACATCCTCCCAAAGCAAATTACAGCAGAGAAACATCCGACCGGAATTCTTATCTGACAGTCACTTTGACCAAAGAGCCAAAAGCCGGTGATGGAAAGCTTGTGGAGATCCGTCTCGGGCGCGAACCCAGACCCATCTGAATACGCCGGAATCGACTTCTGGTCGAATCCGGAGCGCTCCGGCTGGCTCACGAAGCAAGGAGAGTACATCAAGACCTGGCGCCGTCGATGGTTTGTTCTGAAAAAGGGCAAGCTCTTGTGGTTCAAGGACCCGTTAGATTCAGCCTCCGGCGATTCCATTCCCCGCGGGGTGATCTCCGCTGGCGATTGTCTCACCGTGAAAGGTGCCGAGGACAAACTGAATAAACCCTTCGCCTTCGAGCTCTCGACTAACGCGGACACTATGTACTTCATCGCCGATTCGGATAAAGAGAAAGAAGAGTGGATCAATTCCATAGGGCGGTCCATCGTGCAGCACTCGAGGTCCGTCACGGATTCCGAGGTGGTTGATTATGATAGCAGGCGTTAGTTTTAGTAGTATTTTACTTTTACAGTGTGATCTCTTTTTGTTTTTTTCTCTGTGGGGTTGAAGGAGTGATGTAATTGTAATTTATGTTTTGACAATGATTCTGTTTTCGGTTTTGCTGAAAATAAAATTGATCGAGATTTTTTGTAACAGCAAAGTGGATTTGGATCATTGTAAGTTTCAGGAATGAGATTTGGGATTTGTTTCCTTATTCAGAGATTTTGATCACAATATACTAAGTTCAGTTTTTGAGTAATTGGGAGCAAATTCGATCAACAATATAAATCCAGATCATTTTGAAAGCTTTTATGAATTTCGAATCTTTCTCTGCTCCTACTGGATTGAGCGATTCTCCTTTCGTGTTCCGAGTTTCTTTTAGGACTTTGACTTATTGTTATTGGTTACTCTGGTGGACACGTCTTTCAGCCCAGGGTCACTTTCATGGTTAAAACTGTTCTTAAATCTTAATCGACATCAGTACTCTAGAAGACAAAAATGAATAAACCTTAATCCTTTCGAAATTGTTCATCAAATAGGTTGATAGTTGATGTGCAGCAGAGTTCATGGCTTCTTCTTGCATCTCTATCTCTGACCTTCCTCCTGAGATTCATCCAAGTTCAGTTACCGCAAATGTCAATTCCGACCGGTACTTCGCCAACCACCCTTTACTCTTACAGCTGGATAAATGCTCCGACGTTAGACGGCTAAAAGAAATACATGCCCAGATGTTGCGAATTGGGCTCTTCAATGACTCATATGCAGCTAGCAAGCTCATCCAAGTTGCTGCTTTGTCTGACATATCAAGCCTGAGCTATGCCCAGAAAGTGTTCGACCAAATTCCTCAGCCGAATCTTTACTCTTGGAATGCTCTCATTCGTTCTTATTCTTCCAGCGAAGAGCCCGTTAACACGCTTTCGATGTTCGTTCGAATGCTTTATGATGGTGCAGAGTTGCCTAATAAGTTTACTTACCCTTTTGTGATCAAAGCTGCTGCATTGATTTCAGCTTTACGTTTTGGAAGAGGACTTCATGCGATGGTGGTTAAGTCGGAATCTGCTACTGACTTGTTTGTTCTTAATGCTTTGGTTCACTTTTACGCTGAATGTAAGTGTTTGGATGCGGCATACCAGGTTTTTCTGAACATTCCAAATAGGGACATTGTATCATGGAATTCTATGATTATGGGGTTTGTCCACGGAGGTTATGTTGAAGAGTCTTTGGATTTGTTCCGTGGGATGGAGGGAGAGAGTATGAAGCCAAATGATGTGACAATGGTTGGAGTTTTGTCAGCATGTGCAAAGAAGCTGGACTTGGAGTTCGGTAGGTTTGTGCATTCATACATCAGGAGGCATGGGATTAAGGAAAGTTTGATTTTGAATAATGCCATTCTGGATATGTATGCTAAATGTGGGAGCATTAAGGACGCGGAAACATTGTTTGATGAAATGAAGGAGAAGGATACTATTTCATGGACCACTATGATTGTAGGATACACAAGGGTGGGGGATTTTGATGCAGCAAGGAGCGTTTTCAGTGCAATGCCTTGCCAAGATATTGGTGCATGGAATGCTCTTATTTCGGCGTATGAGCAGAATGGTAAGCCGAAGGAGGCCTTAGCCACTTTCAGTGAATTGCAGCAGAGCAAGGAGGCAGAACCTGATTCGGTGACACTTGTTTGTGCCCTATCAGCATGTGCGCAACTGGGAGCAATAGACTTGGGGAGTTGGATTCATGTGTACATTAAGAAACGGCACATTAAGTTGAATTGCCATCTGACTACCTCATTGATTGACATGTATTCCAAGTGTGGGGATCTAGAGAAGGCACTTGAAGTATTTCACTCGATAGAGTACAGAGATGTGTTCGTTTGGAGTGCGATGATTGCTGGTTTTGCAATGCATGGTTGTGGGAAGGAGGCCATAGAGCTGTTCTCGAAGATGCAAGAAGCTAAGGTCAATCCTAACAGTGTTACTTTCACCAATTTGTTAAGTGCTTGCAGTCATTCTGGCCTTGTGGGCGATGGAAAGGCGATTTTCAAGCAAATGGAGCCAGTTTTTGGGGTTGTGCCTGAAGTCAAGCATTATGCTTGCCTGGTTGATATTCTTGGTCGTGCAGGCAACTTGGAAGAAGCCGTTGCTGTAATAGACAAGATGCCTGTTTCTCCCGGGGCATCAGTGTGGGGAGCTCTGCTCGCAGCCTGCAAGCTTCATGGAAATGTTGCCATAGCCGAACAAGCATGTAACAATTTACTCGAGTTAGAGCCTGACAACGATGGAGCATATGTGCTTCTATCCAACATTTATGCTAAGTCAGGGAAATGGGACAAGGTATCTGCATTGAGGAACCTGATGAGAGGTTCTGGATTGAAGAAAGAACCTGGCTGCAGCTCAATCGAGATTGATGGCGTCATTCATGAATTTCTTGTCGGAGATAACTCTCACCCTCAATCTGTCAAAATATACTCAAAGTTGGACGAGGTCGCTGCTAGACTGAAATCTGCTGGCCACGTACCAAAAACATCGCAGGTGCTGCAACTCGTTGAGGAAGAAGATGTGCAAGAGCAGGCATTGAATCTGCACAGCGAGAAGTTGGCCATAGCATTCGGTCTTATTAGTACAACAAACTCGGCTCAACCAATTCGAGTTATGAAGAATCTCCGAGTTTGTCACGATTGCCACGCCGTTGCTAAGCTGATATCCAAACTGTATGACAGAGAAATACTTTTGAGAGATCGTTACCGGTTTCATCACTTCAAAGGAGGCCATTGCTCATGTAAGGATTACTGGTGAATTCCCAGCAGGGTTTCTCCTACAAATGGTTATTAGATTCAGCATTCACTTGTTCATTGAAGAAACTTTTTCAGCTATTCCAATTGACAAAAAGTGAGAGCAGGAGAATTTTCAAAGAAGCACTTGCCCACTTTGATACAGGTGAATACAAAACAAAAAATTGTACTTGTTCCGTCTTGAAATTATTGTTCAGTCATTTGTTCGGCAAAAAACGCAGTAGAGACGTCTTACCAATATAACATTTCATTGCCAATTCCCAAATATGCAAAACACAAAACACGAACAACTGTAACCATAAACTTCTTTAAATTGCTGCTAAGTGAGAAAGCGAAGCATCTCACATGGCATCACGTAACTCTCACGTCCGTATGAAAATGAACATGCTGATTAGTACTTAGTAGTAGTAGTATATGCTGCGGTGAAGTGGGAACGATTCCATCAAATTCCGTAATCTTCCCTTTTTTATTATATCCTTCCGGCCCCCACCGGACCCCTTCGCCGGTCCGCCGGCCAACCCCACCGCTCAGCCTAATACAAAAAGTTCTCGGCAGTGGGTCCCTTGGCTTTGCTGGCAGGCAGATAAATAAAGTCCAGTCCCGCTCAAAGTCATCATGATTTGCTCATCTCTCTCCTCCGCCCCCATTCATTCAAGAGTTTTCCCTCTTCTTTCTTCCTTTAATTATTCAATTCACTTTCGGTTACTGTTCATATTCTTCAACTTGACAGCTACTTTTTGCCTTTCATCACCCACTTTTTTTCTTTTTTTTTTTTTGTTTTATCCGTCAAGTCTAATTTTATTTTAATTCTTTTTTTTTTTTTTTTTTCCATTTTAGAATGTTGAAAACAAGCTCTCACCAATTTGTCTGGTTTGTCTGTCTTTGAAATAATTCAAAATTATTGATTATTACAGCTTAATCCCACATTAGATTTTTACCTTCTTTTTGTCTCCCCCCCTAATTATCGAGTTTTTAGCTAATCTTGCTGTCTTTTCTGCCATTGCTGCTCCCTAAGGTACTTCTACAGACCTTCATAATTGTTGTCAACCCTTTGCTTAATGCTATTGATTTGAATTTTTTACAGTTTCTGTTAGTTCTTTTTTTTAGGTAGATCAAAGTTAAAGAACCGAGTTTTTAACTGAAGATAACTGGAAGAGTTCCTAGGGGAATGATTTAAGCTTAATCGAAGCAATTTGGAAGACAATGGCTCATTACAGCGAGGAAGTTGATCCGGCATTTAGAGGAGCTGGGGCCAACCCGTATCCTTGTTACCGGTTTCATTTGGTTACGTTTTAGTTCATGGGTCACTTGTGTTTTTTGTTTGATTTTGATGCAATCTATTGGTATACCAATTGTGTAGTAAAATTCTTGGCAGAGCAAACACATTTTTCCTGGTCTGTTCTTCAATATTTGAAGTCATTGTGATTTCTTTTCGCTGTGGTGTCATTTTTAATTAATTAAGATGCAGCTGTTCTGAAGTTACTCTGTTGAGTTGAAAATTGTAAAGAGTATACACTATCTGCTGTTGTCTGGATTTCTCACATTTTCCAACTATAGACATTTTGGTTATTTGAGTGTGCTGATCACTGGTCTCTGTGAATGGTTCACCTGGAACAGAGCAATTTGTAGTCCTTAATTTTATTTTGAGTTCAGTGGTTTGGAAATATGGTGCATAGAGAATCTTCGGTTGGCTCTGGTCCCCAAATCTTCGTACGGGAAATTCTTTTCTGGAAGTGCATATCTAGTTTTAAATGTAAGTCCGAAAACATCTATTTTGAGATCTTATTCAAGCCTAGAACTTTAACATTTTCAAATGCCTGTTCGCTTGGAATGACTGGAAATTCCCTTGATAAATCATCTCATATAGACTAATGTTTGAAGCCTTGAATTATTTAAGTTACTGAATTGATGATTGAGATGAATGACTGATTTCTCTCTGCACGATTTTGACAGACACTTTTGCTTAGAAGTGGCTCTCCTCAACATGAGATACATTATTGGCTTGGAAGGGATGCAAAAGAGGTCTATGCTTCTCTATTGTCTTTACTGTTATTTTACTTTTATACTGTTAAAACAGTGGTAAAATGAAAAATGTTCTGATAGGCGGTCACTGGAAATAATACCCTGGAAGGTCACTGATCTTCAATGTTCAACATCTGTAATATTTTGAGAGAGTTCTTTGTTTTATCTATGGTGAGGAGTAGGGGACTATGAGATAGAGCAGAAATGGATAGGGTCATACTTCATGAAGGGGTAACGACACCTTCCTAATATATCACATTTTAGGGTGATAAGTGATGCTTGGTAGAGTTAACTTATCTTTGGTCTGATATGGTTAATTATTCTGCTTACTGGCTGATAGGTGGATGCAAACCTCGTATCAGACAAAGCTCTTGAATTGGATTTGGCCTTGGGGTCCCATGCTGTGCAATATCGAGAAGTTCAAGGTGAAGAAACTGAAAAGTTCTTGTCATACTTCAAGCCTTGCATCATTCCGCTGGAAGGGATATTTTCTTCAGGACAAGCAAATGTTGACTCTAATGCATACAGGATCAGCTTGTTAACATGCAAGGGAGATCGTGTTGTTCATGTTAAAGAAGTGAGAACTGAATACTAATTTGCTTAGTATTTTTATCAAAGTTTCTCTTTACCCACAATTAAAAGTAAATGAAGGAATAATAGAATAATTTCTGTATATAACAATTTAGCCTTGTTGCTTGAATTGTTCCTTTTGTATTAGAGTCATCTTTGGCGATTCTTTTAGCTTTGTGCTAATAACGGACTAGATCAAAATGGCTCAATCGAATTCTGGTGCTTCTTAATTTTAGTGAAGTTGCTGGAAATAAATACTTCATAAGCTCCCATGCATCTTTGGTCGTACTCAAGCAGCCTCTCTGTATTGAAATACAGGGGTAAGGTTGCATACCTCTTGACCCCCCAGACCCCAACAAAGTTGGGAATAAATTGAGTATGTTGTTATTGTTGTATGTCAATTCCTGGTTCTGGTCTGTAAAGTTCCTGTTTAGATAATTCGAAGGTCAAAAAGGTAAATTAGTGATTGATGAAGTTTGCCGTCATGTGGACACAGTCTCTTATGGAGGAATTTGGAATTCCACCTGCTACTGACTATAATTGTTATGCTTTATGTACTAATCAGGTTCCTTTTACTCGGTCATCTCTGAACCACAATGATGTGTTCATACTTGATACGGCATCCAAAATTTTTCTGTTCAGTGGTTGCAACTCCAGTACTCAAGAAAGAGCTAAAGCTTTAGAGGTGGTTCAATATATTAAGGAAAATAAGCACAGTGGGAAGTGTGATATTGCAACGATAGGTTGAATTCTTTCTGTTATGATCTAATCACTTTGCTAAATGCAAACTGTTATCTTAATACTAGTTTTTTTTCATCTGCTGCAGAAGATGGAAAATTTGTGGCTGATCCTGATGTTGGTGAATTCTGGAGCTTATTTGGTGGTTATGCTCCCATTCCAAAGGAGTTGCCCTCGAACAACCAGCAACTGGCTGAGATTCTTGCCACCAAGTTATTCTGGTAAGATTAATGGAGTTGCTGCCTGTGGCATTGGAAGTGCTTTTTTTTTCTTTTTTCTTTTTTTAGAGTTTTTATAAAAAAAACAAAAAAAAAAAAAACCCTTCCAGCATACCGTCCAAACAAGGGTGTCATGTACTTTTCTGAGAGAGAACAAATGATACTGGAGACAAAACTTAACTCTAAAATCATTAGTCACTGAAGAGATACATGGCATATTATCAAGCTGTAAATGTTGAGTTGGTGATCAGCGTCTCAATATCTTCTTTTTGGCATCTATGTTGTCTGTAGTCTCTTGGAGTCAATGAGCAGTGCCAGTAGTTTGAGCTTTTTGTTCTTTTCAAATTTTCTATTGCCTTTTGTTTTGGCAGACTGTCCCTTCTACTTTAGGATGCTTTAAGGTTCTCTGATCGGCAGGATAACTACTCAGGGAAAACTTAATCAGAATGCATCTGGTTTATTAACTAAAGAGATGCTGAGTTCAGACAAATGTTACATGTTGGATTGTGAAGCTGAGCTTTATGTTTGGATGGGAAGAGGCACCACAATTACAGAGCGCAAAACATCAATTTCAGCTGCAGAAGTAAGATTATCCATTTCATTTCCTTAGAGCTTACCTTCTCCTTCCACCACCATCTTTACTCGGACTTCCGATGCAAGACTGATTAACTTGACGCCTGGCACTTAGTTTACTCTGGCGGTTAAATATGAGCCTCTGTAGAACAGATATAACTTGCTCAAGATAATCTCTGAGTTGAAATGCTTGCATTGTTGGACATGTGGACTTGAATCTCACAATTCAGTTCATAAGATAACAAGTTGATTCTATCTATCTGCTGTAAAGAAAAATCCCCTCTCTTGATTTTTTCATGTGATATACATAGTTCTACTTCACCTTGGGAAATAACATCTCGATAAGTATGTGTTGGAGCACTATATTCAAAGCATAGTTGAGTAGGGACGTTGAAAAAAATGTGACATTCTAGCAGTATAATTCTTAATATATAGTTCAATATAAGAAACTTAGACCAGAGCACTTAACAATCTGCCAGAATTTCTATTCTCATTATATTCTTCTGTATGCAGGAGTTTTTGAGATCTCAGGGGAGGTCACATGAAACCAAGTTAACTTTTCTGACAGAAGGATCAGAAACCGATTCATTTCGGTCATACTTCAACGATTGGCCTAAACATGTGGAGCAGAAGCTGTATGAAGAAGGTCGAGGAAAAGTAGCAGGTTTGTACGCTATTGAAAATGACCAGTTGGCAAAACTTTCCGTATTAAGTGAAATGCTACCGCTTGATTTTCTTTTGAAATGTTATTTGCTTATTTTCTCCCAGCAATTTTCAAGCATCAGGGTTATGATGTAAAAGAACTTCCAGATGAGGACGAAGAAGATCTTGTCTTTTTGGATTTATCTGGTGAAACAAAGGTTATTCTTTTTGAAGTTTCTTGTCTGCTTATTGATGCATGGACCTTTTGAAGCATAGACTTTTATCAACTAATGCTTTTTTGTTGAATTCTAATTCAGGTTTGGGGAGTAGATGGTGATAATTCAAACAGCTTACCGCTCGAAGAACCTATGAGGTTTTACAGTGGGGATTGCTACATCATACAGTATACCTATCTCCACAGGGGCAGGGAAGAGAATTTATTCTATGCTTGGCTTGGACAAAATAGTCTCAAAGTGAGCAGCTATTTCGCCATCTTCTTATGAAACAAGCATAGTACAGCTGGTGGATTTGATTTTCTGGTTATTAAAACAAGCATTAGAAAAGTACAAACGTTAGGACACATACCCGAAGCTCTTCTAGATTGCTAAGAAGAGTGGAGGCATGAATCTTAGCTCTAAAACTAAGATTAACCGTACATTGTGAGGACAAAATTTACCTAAATTTGATTTTAAGATGATATCCACTGTAGTTCATATTTTTGCTGAAAATGTTACTAACTGTGTACAACGCTACCATTTGATGAAGCATTGCCTATGGTAGAAACTTTTTGGTGAAATGTATCTTATGCTTGGATCAAGTGTACTATACTGTCTTTTCCTGCTTAAAATATGATTTTCCGCCGATCTATTTTTGCTGCCTAGCTTCTGCTGATACTTTACACTTGACAGTATAATCTTACAGTTTTAGGAGTATATTTGTTTGCTTATATGTACAATTAGTGACCATCCTTTCATCCCCATGAGTTTGATGATGTTGCAGGAAGATAGATTACAGGCAATCTCATTTATGAATGATCTTGCGACATCGGTCAAGGGAGACCCGTCAATTGTAAGTGCTTCTTTATTAATCTGTCTGGTCTCCATTTTTTGGCTTACCAAAATATTTGAAATGAGTTCACAATAAATTACTATGTGAAATTAATTAGCATTAGTAGGTACATGTAATCCTTCAATTTTCTAACTTGCAACTCTCAATTGGTCATTTCTCCATTTATCTCACAGGCTAAGATTGTTGAGGGCAGTGAACCTCCTCAATTCTTTTTGATTCTCAAGACTTTGATTGTTTTCAAGGTTGTAAGCAGAAATTTTCTTTTCCAGTGTATCTGGGGTGAAACTGCGGTTAAAAACTTTTTTGTCTCTTTCTAAAAGTAGTCATTTAATTCATGAAGGGAGGTAAGGGTACAAGATATAAGACATTGCTTGCGGAAAAAGGAAATACTGATGAAACATATGATGACTCTAAGCCCGCTTTGTTTCAAGTTCAAGGATCAAGTTCGTCCAACATGCAAGCCATTCAAGTTGACCAAGTAAATTCTATCTCCAGTGTTTCATTATTCAATCCTATTGGTTTATAACAGACGTGATCTGTCAAACTCCTTAGACAGAACTTTTCCGTCATAGGAGAGTTTGTACCATGACCAAGTTAGGCTATTTCTCAAAAATCTATATTTGGTACTTAGCCACCAAAAGTATCTCTATTTAATATGACGGGAGAAAGCAACTGTATACAGCTCTTTAAACATCTATTTAAACAGTAAACATCTATTTACTGTGTTTACTATGGCAGGTATCAAGTTCTCTGAATTCATCTCATTGCTACATACTAAAGACTGAAACTTCTGTATACAACTGGATAGGGAATCTCACTTCTGTGAGAGATCTTGATCTTATCGACAGGATGCTCAACTTGATGAACGTAAGCCTACTCCCTGTACATCCTAGCTTAGACTGTTCTGTGAAACGATACTCTCCAGTTATCTAATTTTGTGCTTTTCTGTCTCTGACTACTTTAGCCAACATGGCAAGCTGCATTGGTAAGAGAGGGTAATGAGCCTGAATATTTCTGGACTGCGTTGGGTGGAAAGGCTGAATATTACAGAGAAAAGAAAGTTAAAGAATTCAGGGAAGATCCTCATTTGTTTGTGGTCTCATCTTATGAGGGTGAGAAGCATAACCTTTGTTTCTAAATTGTTCTTGTGAAAGATAATGCTTTTGCTTTTTTTTTTGAGTACTCCAGATTTCAACTGCTTTAAATTTATGTCTAATGGAGAATTTGGGTCTTCTGGAACATGGCTGAATTTCCCCTTCAGTTGATTTGAAGGTAAGATTGGGATAATTTTCTACCTATTGAATATTATTATTACCTAACTACCAATATATTAGACCAAATTGATCATTTCCAGTAAAACATATATGATGTTAGGAAGTGAATTCTGTGCTTAATTTGTGGTTTACAGTCAGTAGCTAGAGTTTATTTCCTTGCTCTTTTCTTTGTGATGATTATCGCATGATGACCGAGAGTGATATGTGTAGAAGTAATTACAACAATAACATGTCAACGTAAGTGGCAAACGAGTTGGAAATAAATCATAAAAATGATAAACCTACACCAGCAAGGTCATTTAGCAGTTTGCCAGAATGTCTTTCATTAAGTATTCAAATCTGCAATGGATCTGTTGGAAGCAGATTGTGATAAAATTTGAAAGGAACCCAGCTAAAAGTGTAATTGTTATAATTATAGTTAGAGCAGAGAATAGAAGCTGAACCTAGCGGCAGAAACCATGCTGAAAATTTGATTTACTATGTTTGAGCTCCTGCTGTGACAAAAGAATGGTCAGCATTGTGAACGAGTGAAAAGGAAATATGCTTTAGAAGCAGGTGCAAATTTATCTTTCTGAGATGGATTCCTTCTATAATTTCTCTTTTCTTCCCTTTCTATTTGTTCTTTTCCTTAATACATCAGTTTGGTTTCCTAGAAGAAACTGGTAGGCCTTTACTGCTAACGGATGCAGCTCTCTTCACATCTCATGAACGCATAGCATCTGGCATATACACCACAGATCTTTGTTGATAAGGACTGCAAATTTGGTGACTATAGCAGAATGGTTCTTTATTTGATTGCTACGAATTTTCTCTTTGCGTTGCAGGTGAAAGAGATATTCAATTTCTCCCAGGATGATTTAACTACAGAAGATGTGCTGATTCTTGACTGCCATTCTGAAGTTTTTGTGTGGGTTGGGCGCCATTCATCTGTTGAATCTAAGCATCAGGCTCTTGACCTTGGCGTGGTAATAATGAAAGATATCCTCTTGAAGGATTCATTTATCTCTTCCGTCACCATAATTTTGAAGTTTTGGTTCCTTCTCAGTTTTCCTTTGGTGAAGTAGTTTATACATCAACTTGCAGTTAGTTTAGTCTGGCCTTTAAATTATATTAAAACCTATTACTTTCCTCGTCATGCTAGCTTTCACAGAAAGTCACACTAATTTTTATCAGTTTACCTGGTGCACAGAAATTTGTTGAGAAAGGCGGTTCACTTGGAAGGCTTCCTTCGGAAATTCCGGTCTATGTTGTTGCTGAAGGGTGTGAACCACCATTCTTTACTTGCTTCTTTGAATGGGATCCCTCAAAAGCAAATGTAGGTATACATTATTTCTTTCTTGTAAAATTAACTTGCCCCGTCTTCTAAGGATCTATATTAAACTAGACTTCCAAGCATTTAAGCTGAAGTCACTCTATGTTGACTTAGAACTTCGGCAAGATTGCTCAATTTGGGAAAAATTATGTTCATTCAAAGCCATTAAGTTGAATGACTTTGTTTTTCATTTGATTGAGAGGATTACTCATACCAGTGCAATGTATTTCATAATAGATGCTCGGCAACTCATTTGAACGCAAGCTTGCTATACTGAAGGGAAAGACACAAAAGCTTGAGGTAAATCACATTTTTCTTTTTCACAACATTTTTGTAGTACTTTCAACCTTCTCTGAAGTTTCTTTTTCAGTTCACTCTTTGTCCACGATAAACTAAATATGAAATGCCTCTTACCAGTTTTATAGTGAGATGCCATCTCTCCATCTATCCCTTTTGGCACTATATTAAAAGTACCAAGTGCATCATTAAACGTCATTTCTTCTGGGAATCCTTTTTCCTACTGGGTTAGTAAATTAGCCTACTTGACTCTAATATGCAGGTGACTCTAAGAAGTTCGTGGAAAGCATACTCTATTGAAAATGGCTCAGCTGATTCAAAAAGTCAGTCCAACGGCAGAAATGGGCGCAGACAAAGTTCATCACCTGTGTCAAGCTTTTCTGGCTTGAACTTAAAATATTCAGATGTCCGTCGCTTAAGCAGCCCACCTTCAGTCACGACAAACTTTTTGCCTGGATCTCCTGATCAAAATGCTGCTGGTAAGAAATTGATCTGGAATCACATGAATGGTTGTCTGGTGCTTATAAATGTTTGGATTATTGCCGTTGCTTTGCTCCTGGATATTTGGATGTTCAGGTGTTCATTTACGTAGGCTTTCTTTTGATTATATATTTTGTGTTCTTCTTAACTTCATTGACCCTGAGAAGTGGAAAATCTGCCTAGCATCAAATTCTCTTCGCTTTTTTTCTTTACCCAAAAAAAAAAAAAAAAAGAAAAGAAAAAAACCTGAGATAATAATGAGGCACTGATATTGAGTCTTGGTTTGTGCAGGTTCTGCAGATGGAGTTTCAAAGTTGAGTCCTCAAAGCACTGGTCCGTCGAGTCTTGATGAGAATGAGAGTGATGCAAATCTGGTGGTACATCCATATGATCGACTGGTGGTGGTTTCAAACAACCCAGTGACCGACATTGACATAACCAGAAGAGAGGTACCCTTGTATATATACCTGATACAAATTCTGGTGATTGCCATCTAGGATCGATAAGTAGATTATTATCAAGTATTTTAATCTCGTCGTCATTAACTATTTTGTTTCTTACCATTGATGTTGAATGCCTTTTGCTAAAGTCTTGAAATATCTACTCATTTGCTGCATGCAATTGACTAATCCCAATGCAGTGGAACTCAAGTCCTTTTTAGCTCTTTTTTTCTTGTCTTTCTGATAGCATAGCAATAATTAATTTATGAATGAAAACTGGTCTGAGGTACTGAATGCTGGAACTGTTTGCTTGACCACCAGGCTTATTTATCAAACGAAGAGTTCCAAGAGAAATTCGGGATGCCGAAGCGGAGTTTCTATCAGCTTCCCAAGTGGAGACAGAACAAGCTGAAGATGTCCCTTAAACTTTTTTAAGTTGTTTTTTCCAACTACGTTTAGAACTTAGATACAGGTGCCACTGTACAAACTCTGAGCTTTTTACTAAGTTTGCAGTGATATTTTAGTATGATGCGAATTGAGAGTAATAGTCCAACCTAAACCCAACCTCAAAAGATGCTCTTTGAGTCATTAATTCAAATTTAGGGTTGTGATTTTACTTGTTTTAGTATGAAAAAGTGCCTAGGTTGTGATTTTATGTTTGTTTTTATGATCTGAGGGAAAATTATGTATTCAGTATGGTATAGCTTGAGACAAACCGTACCTAGATATGATCTCCATTCATTGTGTATGATAGTAGTGTCTTATAATGGCGTATTTCATATGGTTGTTAAAAATATCTCATTTAAAGGAGATAACCCTTTCATCTGAATCTTTTTGTTTCGTTTTCATTTCTTTTTTTGGTTCCCCTTAATCACCCTAATTACTTCGGACAAATTTAAAAATCCCAAGTCACATTTTGTTGTTAACTTTCATACACGTAAGTTAAAACACAGCCATAACTTCATATTTTGTAACGTACAAGTCATCCAAAAAAGAAAAATATCAAAGCATAATAAGATAAAAGAGTAATTAAGGGAGGAAAGTAATGGAAGAGATTCTAAAGTTGGAAATTAACCAAAAATTTATAAACCAGACACAAAAGCCATTCCTGATGCTCTTCTGGGTAGCTTCCTAATCTGTATTTATCAGTGTTTTTTTGGGTAGCTTCCTCACCCCCCAGTGTTTCTCAGATTTTGGTAGTTCTTGACTTCTTGTAAGTACTAGTTTGTTCCGTTCTTATGATTTATATATTTATAATACTCACTTTGGACTCAAAATGATTGTCCAATTATGGAAAATGATATATTTAGTGAAAATAAATAGCGAAAAAAAAAAACAATGATCGATGTGGCATATACTAATTGTTCCTATTTTTTTGGTACTTTTCCGTTAAAAATTTTATTCTTCCCAAAATATTACACTTCTACCTCTTACACATCAGTCACTATGAATTTTTACTATTTTTTTTCACTCTCTCCATCATTGTTGGTCCAACTAATAAGTTAATTATCATTTTTTTCACTATTTTTTTTACTCTCTCTATCATTGTTGGTCTAACTAATAAGTTAATTATCATTTTGAACAGATAAATTATTTGTAATAAAGAGTGGTAGATCTTTGCACTTATGCTGCTTTATGGCACCGACTGAAGATATTTCTATCCTTAAAAAGATGACCATAGCAAAAAAAAAATGTTATTAAACGATAAAAATGTGATATTATTATTAGTACCAAAAAAAGTAAATTCACATAAACAGGTAACAACAAACAAAGATAAACTACATATAAAAATTGCTCAAGCAAATTGTACTTGTTAATTATCTTAAAGTTATGAGAGTTTCGAGTTCATATTCACAATCACATCCTGGATTACACATTGTAGGATCTAGATCCCAGATGAAATGTCCATCAATTTTATCCGTATAGGAAAATGTTCCATCAGAAAGCACAAAGACCAAATGCCTCGGTGGCGGAGATGTGCTGCTGACTTCGATAACCCCCAAAAGCCCACTCACGCACCAACACAACACCACCTAGATTATAGCAGCTGCGCACCTCTGCGCCATACTTGAAACGAAAAAATGTGTAGCTCTAGCATCTTCTCTGCATCCGTGCAAACTATTTTGAAAACTATTTTGACATTCCTTCCTGAAAGTCTTTTGAACTGAAAAACATTAGATTTAACATTCTCATGTTTCAGATGAAGCGTCTCATAATTGGTAATCCATTCTGTAGGAACCAATTTTTTAGATCAAATCTGAGAATCTGTCTAGGAATTTGAACAATTGTCGGTGCTTCTGATCCAGCATTTGCAAGTATGAGAGGAGCATCTTTTATGCCTTGACTAGGAAGATCAAGGCTATGATCTTGAAGACGATATACAATTTGATGATGCAAGATAGCCATGATTGAAGAGGATATACAATATGTAATGGACAAATATAAATATGGATAACTCGAAAATAATTTGATACTGAAAATAATTCTGAACGGATATATAAAGAAATACTGATTCGTTAAAAAAAACAACATTTTCTCCCTCCTTGTGGTATTCAGGACCTTCAGGTGGGTTATCTCCGTTTAACTTTCCCTCCATTTCAGATAAACAAACAAACAATCAAGATTTTTCGAACTAAAAGAATTAATTAATGAGCTAATAAGGTTGTTTGTTTTTATTTAAGGAAAAAAAGAAATTATTCATCGTCAACGTGAAAACAACGTCCCGTTCCGTTCTACTATTGGTAGCAACTTCCATCAAACTTCACAAAATCAAATCTTTCAAACTTCAAAAATAATAAGAAGAAAAATGACGTGAGACTTGTAACCATTTTGATTTCTTCTTCTTCGCTAACGACGCCATTGATATGATAACCACCCAAAAATCAATTCTTTAAGCATCCCAACAAAGCATATTCCCATCCTCCCTTTACTTTACTCTTTTCTACTTCTTTAGCGCCCCAATTTGACTTTATCCACTTTACCAAACACTTTTCTTTCCTTCAGCAGATTTCCCACCGGCTTTTTTTTTCTGGGCCACCGTTTTTTCACTCCGATCGCCGGTCTAATTGACCGGGAAATGGTTTACCGGCGATATTTCACCCACCTCCCTCTTTTCTTCTTCCTGTATTTGTTATTGTTTCCTTCTTCTTCGTTATCTTATCCCTTTGAGAAGAAACGGAAGGAACCGAAATTTGATGGGCCGATCAAGACGGTTGTCGTGGTGGTCATGGAGAACCGGTCTTTCGATCATGTTTTGGGTTGGTTAAAGAAGACCCGTCCCGATATTGATGGGCTTACCGGGTCTGAGTTCAACCATGTGAACGCCTCCGACCCGGCTTCCCCCAAGCATTACGTCACCGACAATGCTATCTTTGTCGACTCTGACCCCGGCCACTCGATTCAAGCTATCCGGGAACAGATATTCGGGTCCAACGACTCCACCGCGAACCCGGCTCCGATGAACGGTTTTGTTCAGCAAGCTGAGAGTATGGGCGTTGAAGGGATGTCCAGGACGGTTATGAGCGGGTTCAAGCCGGAGTTTGTGCCGGTTTACACCGAGTTAGCCAACGAGTTCGCCGTATTTGACCGGTGGTTCGCTTCGGTGCCGGCGTCGACTCAGCCGAACCGGTTCTATGTCCACTCGGCGACTTCACACGGAGCATCTAGTAATGTAAGGAAAGATTTAATTCATGGGTTTCCGCAGAAAACTATTTTCGATTCATTGGAGGAAAATGACCTGAGCTTTGGGATATATTATCAAAATATCCCGGCTACGCTCTTCTTCAAGAGCTTGAGGAAGCTTAAAAATACGGTTAAGTTTCATAATTATGCTGTGAAGTTTAAATTGCATGCCAAATTAGGGAAGCTTCCGAATTATGCAGTGATAGAACAGAGGTATTTTGATGTTGATCTGTTTCCGGCCAATGATGATCATCCTTCCCATGATGTGGCTTTGGGGCAAAAATTTGTGAAGGAAGTGTACGAGACTTTGAGGGCAAGTCCTCAATGGAAAGAAATGGCCTTGTTGATCACTTATGATGAGCATGGCGGATTTTTCGATCACGTGCCTACACCAGTTGAAGGGGTGCCTAATCCTGATGGAATTATTGGGCCAGATCCTTACTATTTTGCTTTTGATCGCTTGGGTGTTCGTGTGCCTTCATTCTTGATTTCACCATGGGTTGATAAACGAACTGGTAAGCGATTATTTTACTATGCACTATTATGATTATTCAATTAGGGTGTGTATTGTGTGATTCTCCAATCTAAGTCTTTATTAGGATGATGATTCAGTTTCTTTGTAAGGAACTTCTTGAAATTAATGATGGTTTTGTTGTTTATCTACAGAATGAAGGTTGGGGGATGTTGTAATATGGTTAATCGTTAGTGTCATAATTGAATTCGAATGTAGGCTGGACTGGAACTTACAAATGTCACATTGTTGATATTGAGGCAGGAAATGGGAGGAACTAAATCTAGAAAGCTTGGTCCAAGTGGCATGTAGTATAAGCTCTGCTTGTGTCTGTTAATGTGTAGTTTAACATTTTTACTCCCTTTCATGAACGCCTTGTTAATTTGAGGTTATGGGCACAAAATAGTATGTTTTAAGTCAATTCAAGACATCTCCAGCAATTGATGAACAAATATAGTCAATGAACAAGTTACGGTTTTGATCCAATGATCTGTGAAGATTCTGTTGGTATTCTTCTGAGAATATTATTATTTTGACTCTTGTTTTTTTGAATTGTGTTACTCTGGGTGCAGTAATTCATGAGCCTAATGGTCCAACCCCAACGTCTCAGTTCGAACACTCATCGATTCCTGCAACTGTGAAGAAACTCTTCAATTTAAAATCCAATTTCTTGACCAAAAGGGATGCATGGGCTGGAACTTTTGAAAGTGTCTTCAAGCTGCGCAAGACTCCCCGTGACGATTGTCCAGGTTTTTTTGACTTCTACTATTCAATTCATCCATATGAACAGTTTAGAAATATGGTTGAGATTATGCAAATCTTAGAAATTTCGGAAACTTTCACGTCTTTTCTCTCTTTTTTGCCTGAGTTGCTTAGGCTCTCCCTTGTAATAAAATCATGCATACTTTTGCCAATGTTTGGAGGAGGAATATTTGTTCTTGAAGTCATAGCTCTAAATATGAAATGTGAACCTTCATGTCAGCTCCACTAAGTGGAGAAAGCAGAAGGGATAAAAGTATAAAGACATAGCATTTCTTCCATATCTCATGGATTATCATAAAGAACTTAGCAGTGCTTGTATTCATGAATACTACTATGAGAATAGAATACATTTTCTGAGAATTGCATAAGAACTTATCAAATTTTATGGCTTTTCAGAGAAACTCCCGGAGGTGACAAAAACATTGAGGGGAAGGGGACCAAGGGAAGATGCTGTACTCTCCGAATTTCAAGTCGAACTGATCCAACTTGCATCACAGCTTAACGGCGATCATGTTCTCAACGCCTACCCTGACATCGGGAAAAGTATGACTGTTGGTCAAGCTAATCGCTACGCAGAGGATGCAGTACAGAGGTTCTTGGAAGCAGGACGAGCTGCACTGAGAGCTGGGGCTAATGAGTCGGCCATTGTCACAATGAGACCCGCCCTTACCACAAGAACTGTAACTGAAGACGTTGGTTACCTAGAAGCCTACTGATGTGGCTTTGCAACGTTGTGAAATCAATATTAGAGACCTAAATCATTTGCTTGTATATAATAGCATAACCTGCTCGATCTGAGCAGGGGTGAATGGCCTATTGTTGTAAGCATGTACCCTTTACTAGTTGTAGCAGTCATAGATGGCACGTTAATTCCAATTTATGACCTTTGCAAATGGCTAGAGGTTACTGTGTTCTGTGGTAGGTATTTGGTGCTCTCCCGGCATCTGTGTTAGATTCGTATTGTAAGGTACTTTTCGGTATCAGTCCTCTTGACCTCTTCTTGGATTGCCATCTCTTGTCCCATTGAACTTCTTCAAAAATAGAGGGATCATATAGAAAAAATACAAATCAGTTTGTTAACCACTTCTCCTCTTACAGATCAACAGAGCCTCTCTGTTAGTGTTAGTACCAGGAAGAACTGTTTGATGAACTAATTTTGAGGCCCAGTAGCTGGACTTTATTCAATATTGTCCCCCCCCCCCTCTTGTGGGGTTTTTGTTGCTTTGGAAGGTTTCAATTAGGGATAGTAGTTAGTTAGTGAGTGATGGAGAAGACGGCTACGATTCAAGACGAACTCCATTGGCTCCACATCCAGTAAGGTTATTTTCAAGTTGAAAACCATATATATATATTTATGAGAGGATATACGGATGTTTGGAACTGAAAAGCAAGTGGAGAGCTCCCGTTATTTTGCGAAGTAATTGACTGTCTGATTTGATCTTCTTATCCGTTGTTCCTCTGAAGCCATTGAACCAAATTGCTGGAGACGTCAACACCATCTATTCTTACCATCAAGTGGAGAGGAAACGGAAAGAATGATCGTAAAAAACACCATTTTTTAAATGTATTTCTGTTAGTCTGTCCCGGAAAAAGTCACGTGTACCATGATTGGAATTGAGTTAAAAACATTTACCAGATGATGATGAATATAAAAACTGTCCGATAATTCGTAGTACTACTTACTGGTTATTCAAGCTCTACCATTCAACTTGCACCAATTAGCCAATGGTAATGAAGATTGAATACCTTTCACATTTATAACATAGTACTTGTAGTAAGAAGCTCAATATTTCCATCCATCTTGATCATCAAAGCACATATTCAGATAATTAACAATCTCCACCAACAATGGATACCACCACCACCAACTGGGAAGCAAGTGTTACAGATTCAATTAACGCTATTTATCTTCTCTTCTCTGCTTACTTAGTCTTCGTAATGCAGCTCGGGTTCGCCATGCTCTGTGCCGGCTCAGTCAGGGCCAAAAACGCCATGAACATCATGCTTACCAACGTCGTCGACGCCGTCGTCGGCAGCCTTTCTTACTACCTCTTCGGCTTCGCTTTCGCCTTTGGCAGCGAAGGACCCAATGCAAACCCATTTATCGGAACCCAATTCTTTGCCCTTAAAGACATTCCTTCAAGCTCTTATGATTACAGCTTCTTTCTTTACCAATGGGCTTTCGCCATAGCCGTCGCCGGCATAACCGCCGGCTCAATTGCTGAGCGAACCCAATTCTCTGCTTACCTTATTTTCTCCTTTTTTCTCACTGGGTTTGTTTACCCCATTGTTGCTCACTGGGTTTGGTCGCCCAGCGGCTGGCTCAGTCCGACTTCCGGTTCTCTGCTGTTCGGCTCCGGCGCCATTGATTTCGCCGGAAGTGGTGTAATACATTTGGTGGGTGCGATTGCTGGGCTTTGGGGATCGTTAATTGAAGGCCCGAGAGTGGGCCGGTTTGATGCTTTCGGAAAGCCCGTGACAATGAGAGGTCATAATGCAACTCTGGTTGTTCTGGGCACATTTCTGCTGTGGTTTGGATGGTTTGGGTTTAATCCAGGTTCTTTCAATAAGATTCTTGTCGCTTACCCAAATGTTTCCGACCAGGGAAACTGGACCGGAGTTGGCCGGACGGCGGTTACAACCACCCTGGCCGGTTCAACCGCCGGGATTGTCACTCTGTTCGGTAGAAGGCTGTTAGTGGGCCATTGGGATGCATTGGATGTTTGTAACGGCGTGCTTGGTGGATTTGTGGCAATCACTTCGGGCTGTTCGGTTGTGGAACCATGGGCTGCGATTATCTGTGGATTCGTTGCGGCTTGGGTTTTGATTGGGCTAAACATTTTGTGTTTAAAGCTTCGGTTCGATGATCCATTGGAAGCAACCCAGCTTCATGGAGGCTGTGGAGCTTGGGGTGTGATATTTACAGGTCTTTTTGCTGAACAGAAGTTTGTGATTCAGGCTTATGATTCCGGTGAAGCTGGAATCTCCCGGCCGTATGGACTACTTCGCGGCGGTGGTTGGGGCCTGATCGGAGCCCAAGTGGTCGAAGTTGTGGTGGTTTTGTTCTGGGTCAGTATCACAATGGGGCCTATGTTCTACACACTTCAAAAGCTAGATATCCTGAGGATCTCCATTGAAGAGGAAATTGCAGGTTTGGATATCTCCAGGCATGGTGGAAAGGCTTATATTGATATTCATGAAGAAGCTGGACCTCAGCATTACCATGAATATATGCGACTACAAAATCAGTAAACATCCAACTATGGTTCCTTCCTCGCAACTCCAGAGAAATGAAGCTTGTGAGCTATACGCCTCAATAGCTCCATTGTCACACTTGTGTATATGTCCCCCAGATTTATTTTGTTCATTGTCAACTTTTGTATAGTTGCTCTCTTGTATGAAGCTTTCTATTAATTTTATGAGTCTTGTTAGTTATGATTTTTTCGCCTTTATTATCTCACAGAACCCTATCAACGCTGTGGTTACATGTTACATAAATCATTGCCAAGAACTCGGCTTCTCTACCTGGGGATGCGACCTGCAAGTCAGGAGCATGTTCTGCTCCGCCTATTTGCGTTTTTAGATCATGTATGTTTTGTTATATATCCTGTTGCCACATACTTGCATCTCCCCGCCATTTAAAGCGACTATAGCTGCCATCAAATATGACTTTACTACCTCAATACACTTCAAAGATAAGATCTGTTCTATAGGCTCATACCTGGGTAGTGGGTACCCTTCGGTTGGGAGGACAACTCCATACTCACCGACTACAAAAATGAATGTTGTCAAAACTTTTTAACTCACTTACCCCTCCAACATTGTCTATCAACTGTGTTATTTGGATTTGCATATCCTGACAACTGTAGTTGAATTCTTCGGTGGAATCTCCAATCCAAGAAATGAACACAGAACAATAGAATCGAATATACAAGCAGGACATGAATTCCAGTCCTGCTGATAAGAGCAATACATGCTATAGGAAGCCAGATGCCACTCGGGGCAAAGGCAGCATGTCAATAGAGCTCTCTGAACTATGACTGCATCACTTAAAACAATCTCTACATAACATCAACATACATTTGATGTACATAAAATGCAACCTACTGGATTACTCACCTAATAGGGTAGTCATATTGATTTAAAACAGACTCAGGAACAATAAGCGGCAACTTTTCAATGAACACGAAAAGCCTCTGCAGGTTCTCTTCCATAATTACAGATAAGTCAACAGTTTCACTGTTATCAATGCAGATCCAGAGATCCCCTGAGTTCACTCGTTTAAGATTGTTCCGGCAAAAAGGACAGGACTGAGAGCGACGGCGCCTGAAGAAAAGCAAGCGAATCATTTTCAATCAGGTCCAAAAATTGGCTTAAAGCGTGAATATTAAAACATGAACAATGCACGTAGCCATCTGACAACAAGCACTTTGTCGGTCATTAAAACTAGAAAAGAGATGAGCATCACTTCCAAGAAACCACAGGCAACTTGTGCTGGGTAGAAAGAGAAGACCACAGGAATACATGTATTCTCAATCTGAGCCTAACATGCCATAGATATATATGGCTCAGGACATCAAAGGGTAAAAGCCAGGATGCAATTAAACAGGACACTTCTGGATAAAAAGGAACAGTAAATGACTAAAGGAAGAATGATCAAGCAGCAATTCATTCTAGTTAAAAACACTTCAAAAACGAGTCATAAATTTCAAACAGCAGGGTCAGCCATATAAGACACATATTGCTATCGTACTTTTGTCAAAACACACATTTTCATGTAAACCTTGCAAGGCATAAAATTCCAAAAGCACAAAAGGGAGAGCAACAGGTTGGAAGAATCTATAACTGTGTTGTTCAGAAATCAGTTCATGAACCAACTTTTGCTATTATTATCTCAAAAAAAAAAACTGGGTATGAGACTTACCACTGATTGTAACACTCTATGCACAAAGAATGGTTGCAATTAGGCAAGACAACCTTGCCAGTGCATTCCATGCAAATTCCACATTCATTCTCTCTTTCTAAGTCAACATCAGATATGTTCTCCCAATTTCTCCTTGAGTACCTAAGTGAACAAATCTTCTTCTGTTTCTTCTCTTCCATATCAGTTATCCCTCTTTGAAGTTGCAATAAAGAAGGAAATATTATTCCTGTTTTATAGTGAAAAACATTTGGTAAAGCTGGAAGACAGAAACTAAGCACAAATATGCCATACTTTCTTTATCTCAAATCACTGTCACAGTTTAATAATGCTTCAGAAAAGGCACTCACCATAAAATTCTCTGATGCTAGCTTTCCTTTCATAAACAGACATTGTAGTTTTTCCATCAGCATACGACTGCAAAATGCCAGCATTTTACTACATGAGCCACAAATATAAGAACATAGCAATCGCACTTTCTTTTTACAATCAAACAGATAAATCTCTAGTGTTAACAGAAAGTAAGACTATTAGTAACTTGAAGGAAGGACACCAGCAATAGGATAATGTGAATGAAAGAACAGAATGAGGAGGAGATTTACCATGTAAATAAGAATTCGAAGTAAGCCAAGTGTACCAGCAAGCTGACAATCAAAGCATTGAACGAGAAACATAAACAAATGTGCAGCTGGAGCATAAGACATCCTCATTTGAAGAACAGCTCCATCTCGTTCCCGGGGATAACTCAATGCCCTGAACCAGAAAAAGTAAATAAAGAAGATCAATTACAGAACCCACCAAAATTAGAAGCATTTTAGCCATCATAACACATTCTGTAAGCATGAAAAGGCAAAAAAAAATTGGAAACGCGAAGAGAATCAACAAAGCCTCCAATAATAGAAAATCAACAAAGCATCATTAGAATCTATCAGCACATAATCTGGAGCAGATTATTGGGCAAATTTGCTTCATTTGAAGCTCAGTTCTTCCAGTGCAACAGATGGGGCATAAACAAGGACAAAATATCTGATTGGCTGTTCTAACATTTTCTTTTTCAACGTTTCCACATATATATAAAATTATTAATCCGCCCCCCAAAAAAAAAACCCCCTTAGTAGGAAGAAGATATTTACTGCAAAGAAGAATCTAAACACCCAACCAAAAAAATAAAACCCAAAAAAATAAATCAAAAGGAGGGAGAAATACACACAGTGTGTTGGCAAGCTGAATATCAGCTTCTAGAGCCTTGAGAGATTCCTTAAAGGACTTGCCCATATCCTGCGAATTTCTTCAAAAATTGCACTTAGAAATATCTTTCTTCTGCAAAAATAATCATGTACACCTCTCTCTCTCTCTCTGTATCTTGATTCTTCAGAAGATGAGAAATTAAATACTAACAAAAGGGATAAACCCTATTGGAAGTATGTAGACGTTTCGGTAGCAACCTCGGGCGATTTCTTGCATAGTGAGTCAGACTCATAATTCGGAGTCCGTTTTTAAGGTTTTAGAATAGAAAGTGGACCGATGGACCCGTTTTGTATTTCCTTTTCTTTTTTTCTCTTTTTTTTTTTTCCATTCTCCATTTTCCTATGTAATATCAAAACGACCCTCACTTTTTCTCATATGAACTTTTTTACAGCTGAATCGTAATTTTGAGAGCCATCATAATTTGGTTCATTGTTAGTCATTTCATCCGTTGAATTCAAAAGATAAATAGATATACCGTATGTCTAATTATAGAGGGCCCTCACATTTTCCATTTAATATGTGATTTAATCATAGGAAAATAGCACCATATCCTTATGTTGAGTCGTTGACTACATAAGTGTTAATTTAGTCTATCATTAGCTAATTCATTTGCTAAATCTGAAACATGAATGGTATATATATGTACTATTAGAACAATTAGTTATTGATCTGTTGAACCTTATAATCAGGCCAAGGCCTCCAAACTATAATTTTTATTGTAACTTAGTCATTTATAATTTGTTATGTTTAATCTAATAGTCTTCAATTCAACACACGAAATGATATTAGGGTTTAATTCTCACAATTGGACCATGAATTTCAATCTGAACTCTTGATCAACATCATTTGTTTCGCCAAGCAACATGTAAAGTAAAAATACAAATAAATGATGAAAATACTCATGTTTGCATATGGGGGAGTAAAAGACACCTTTGCTTAAATTTACGGAGTTGAAAGCTTATTAGTTAAAATGTAAGGGACTGTATTTACGATTAACTCTTTGTTTAATGATTGAGTTGGTTGGGAAAGACAATTGTGGAGTTTAAAGTAATTGGGGGTGTTGGGTTGAAATCTATGATTCTATTATTATATGGGGTAATTAAATTAATTATTATTACGACCTTATCCTTTTCTTTTGGGTGTTTTTGGTACGTGGCCTTATCCATAGTTGAGCTTATGTCAAATGTCAACATCAGAGATAATTTTTTATATATATCTATCTCAAAGTAGACCCCCCAAGGCCCCCAGCGCCTGAAGAAGGAAGGAATGTGAGGTTAATATCGTCATTTTAAGCTCTCTAGGAGGCGATGACGTGGCAGTGGGTACTGATTGGCTGCGGCGGAGAGGGGAAGAACGGCAGCGGGAATAAATGGAAGCGCACGTTTTGTCGATAAAAACCCAAACCCGGAGGCGAGGGTACCTGGTTTTCCTCATCATTATTACTAAGTCAGATTATGCGGCCATATTGAGCAGATTCATACTAGTACTATTTTTTAAAATTCTGGTTTAGTATGATAATACTAAATCACTCCAAAATTTGGGATGATTAGTGGAGGAGAGAGATTTTACTGTGTCATTCTTTTACTGGAAGCTTATAGTCCACCAGCGCCATTGACCGAAAATTGGCTTCCAATTTTATCCTTATATTTTAAATTTCAAATTCAAAATTTAAAACCCCAATTTTTAACCTTACACTCCAATCTTCCAATTTCTTCCAACCTCAAACACTCTCTCCAATTTTCAATCTTCGTAGACTTTAAATCGATGGCCGAAAGAGATCACCATCGCAGGAAACATCCACTGGAACGAGTAAGTTTTCTCAAATATTTGAACTTTTTAATTTTTTGAAACTGAAATTTTTTTTTTTTTTATCTGAAAAAGGGTGGCCGACGGCGGTGATGTCCGAAAAGCCGCCGGCCCACCGGCCTGCCGTCCCAAGAAGCCAAAACCGGCATTTGGGATGTCGACCACCAATTTGGACGGTATGGACACCGTCCACGAAGAAGCCGACGGCGGTGGTCAAGTCCCCGGGAAAATGGGACGACCCAGGTGCCGTCCTGGGGCAGGGTCGACTGCCCAGCTACTGTTGACAGGAAATGTGGATTAGAGGATCGCCGTCCACCTGCAAACAAGACGGAAGCACCGCCGTCTTGTTATTTCCTGGCCGGCAGGCATTTTTTTTTAAAAAAAATAGTAAACTAATTATTTTTTATTTTTTAATTTTTTTTAGTTTAGTAATTTAATTTATTTATTATATTTTGTTGTTTTATAATTTAGTTTTAATTAGTGTAATTTATTTCTTTTAGTTTAATTAGTGTAATTTAGTTCTTTTACTTTATTTAATTCTTTTAATTTAATTAGTTTAATTTATTTTTTAATTACTATTTATTAGTATTTACTTTAATTTAGTTAGTTATTAAATAACTTAATGATTAATTATTGTATAAATATAGTTTTTTGATAATTAATGGAATTAGTTTATTAATATGATTACTATGAATTAGTATTTTTTATAATTAATGATTATATGATTTATTAGTGAATTAAATATTGTTGAATGAAATAATTTGTATTAGTATTATTATTTGGTTGTGTAATTAACAATGATTAAATGCAGGAATCTCTTGGCCCGATCAACAAAGAATCGGGTAAGCGGCATGTGAAATCGCAAAATGTCCCGCCATCGTGTCATAATGAAAATGAACATGTGGAGAATGAGGAGATAGAGGAAGAAGGGAGTGCCAACAGTAATGCACACAGAGCTGAACACCCCTTATATCAGCAGGCACCCTCGTTTGAGCAAGAAGAGCATGTCCACAGTGTTTCACAATCACAGAATGGTGAATTACCCATCCCCCCTTATTCCACGACTTCGTTTTATCCTGCCTGGAGGTCGTAGTGCCACTGGGACTGGGATATATTCCCGTAAGGATGCTATAGTAGCATCAGGTATGAATTAATTTTCTGTGAAAATTGAAGTTAATATTAATCATATAATTATTAGTTATTTGATGTTGAAGTTATTAAATAAAATCTAATAATTACATCCCATTTCTTTTTCAGGGAGTAGCAGTCGATCGAAAAAATTGGATGATCGGTCATGGATTGTAACGAATGTAGTATCCGGAGGGCCTAAAGATGGATCGGTTATTCCCAGCTTCAATGAACACGTTACCTCTTTGTTATGGTAGGGTACAGATTGAGGTTGTCTCAAGTTAAAGAACAGATCCGCTGTTTGTCAGATGTTGACAGGCTGGAAGAGTTTCCCAGGTTTTGAAAGGGCGAGGCCGCTGGTTAAGGTGGCTAGGTTGTCTCATCTTCCAGGACTGATGTTCTCGCATAATGATATCGGCCTAGTATGTGCTTTCGTGGAGCGATGGCAGCTAGACACAAATTCGTTCCACATGCCTTTTGGTTCATGATGTCCAGTTCATTTTGTCCATCCCTGTAGAGGGAGAGATGGTGACTGCCGTTCCCAAGTGGGAAGCATTGAAGAACCACACTATGGGTCTTTTGGACATATCTACGGAAGATATGAAACCCCTGAACTATAAAAGTGGTGCTATGTTAGAGTCATTTTTCATGGATCGAGTCTGAGATAGCACGAACCCAAAGGTACAGGCCACTGCTTGGTTGTGGGTGATGTTGAGTGCCACATTGTTTGTTGACAAGAGTGAGGGTCGGCAGAATACATGCACAGTTGCTGCACGAGCTTTTTGATAACCTTGATGGTGTTTCAAGTCGTTCATGGGCATCTGCGATTCTCCATACCTTTACCACCAGTTAGGGGTTGCTAATAGAGGTGGTGTCAAGCAGATGGGGGGTTGTTTGACCCTATTGCTAGCCTGGATATATGAGTATTTCCCGATCTTCCGGCCTCATAACCCACACTAGGTGTGCAATGGACCCAGAGCTGCACAATGGAAGCCAGACGCGTGTACTGCTGTAGAGGGAGAGGTGCGATTGAAGAATTTACGGAAGAACCTTGACAACTTATCCCCGGATGATGTAAGTTTTGTTCCAATTTTGTTGTTTGTTTGTTTCTTAATTTTTATTAATTATTTATTAATATGTATGAATAATTTTTTATTTTGTAGGTGGTGTGGGAGCTATTCGGTAAGGACATGTACAAGATGGTGCCTAGAATAATCTTTACTGGATGGCTCGCTTTCAAGAATTTTGTTGAGCCATACATGCCAGATCGTGTGTTTTGACAGCTCGGTTATGTGCAGATAATTCCTACGTCGATTGCTGTCCCGCAACTTCATGGAGGCCGATGAGTGGCAAAAACTACAAGGTTGAGTTTTCTGAAGTGTATGCGGGTAATGCTTGGCTTAGATTCCCTCAGTCAAGAAGCCTTATTCTCAGCCCGTACACTCGTTCGGCGAAGGCAGCATGTGTTGATGGTTTTCTCGACTAGTTCTACCATTATTCCCATCCTAAGCTTCTGCCCGAGATAAGAGTTCTTTGATAGTCAACTCTATTCCATCGCGGGTCAGTGTTCAATACGTTCTCTTGATTAAGTTTATATTAAATGTTATTATATAACAATTATTCTTGTTTGCTTCTATGTTAATGTAGTGGACAGATCGGTGGTCCGACCTCGCTGCTAGAGCTATCAACAGGCTGAGGTTGACCGGTGACGACTATGCCCCGGAATTACAGAAGGAGTATGATGATCTCATTGTTCGCTGGAGCCACATGCGCTGATGTCTTTTGCCTTGCCTTGTTTTTTAATTCGGACCATGTTTATTAGTATTTGTTTAATTATGCTTGAATTTCAACTTAGACATTGTTGTATTTGTGACCTGTGATTGTGTTTGTTTAACTTGTTCGTACATTACAACTAAAATATAAAACTGCAAACAAATTGAATGACAATGTGCTAAATATAATAATAGTTAGCCAACAATCTCAAATACACCAATCCACATATGACTGGTACTCTACTCAACATTAAAGGAAGAAGACTGAGGGGATTGTGTCCGTCCATTATCATTACATGAAGTGTGCCAAAGCTCTATTCTCTTGAGATATGGCTGCTCCCAACCAATAACGAAAGTGTCACGTTGGCGGAACCATTGATAAGGTATGGACGGAACTGGAAAATCTGAAACCACAAAATCTAGCTGAATGTAATGCTTGTAATCGCCTAGACGAGCAATGGCAATCTCCCGAACAGGTCCGGTTAAAGGCCCATTAGGGCCCCTGGGAGCGATGAGAGGCAATATAGTGTTCGATGATGTATTCATATTCTGACCTCTTACTCCACACCCAAACAAGAAGATAACCATGTTGAAGCGAGTAGCATACATGAGCAAGTCCATAAGTAATCATGTAATGATCTTCAGAACAAGGACTCTCATACCATCGTATGCGGTGAACATGCTTGGGAATGTCTCTTTCGAAGAAGAAATCGTACAAATCTGGACGTTCCTCTAGCTCATTTGCGCCAATTATTCTAGCATTATGCCATTGATGCTCGGATCCAAACAAATGGCTCGCCATAACGTGGAATCCACAGTTTCCATCACCCAGCACATCTACATATCCAGTAATGTAGGGAATCATACAAGGCACAATCCTCTCTAGGTCATCATATTCGTAAATGTTTTGTTATATCACATCTATAACGTGAAAAATACATTACCAAACATTAATAAACAATATATAGTGTTCGACATTAAAAAAAAATTATAAAAAATATTAATAAAGGGTTCTTACCTTGAGGAGGCCCATTAGACTGCCGAAAATCCCATTGAGTATAGACTTGTTCACGTGACTTGTTCTTGCTTCCTTTCGAGCGCCCCTTGCCTTTCTTCTTTTTCTCCAGTTGCTTCGAAGACCCTCTATCTGAGTAAATTTGATCATAGAGCCAACCATTCGCCCTGTGCATAACCAATGGATCTCCATTCTCGACCACACCAACCAAATATTTCTAAAAGACTTGATCATATGACAGTCCATCAGGCCTAGTATTGACGGGACTCTCGTTGATATTGAGATTAGCCAAAACGGGTTGAGATAAAAAACCTGAATCGCCAGACCCGCGTCCACTGTCACCTTTATCTCACAGCCACAAGGAATATCATGAGTGGATCTCAGCTTATGATCATATACAAACTTGTCTCCCTTTGTCTGCATCTCTTCATACTCCTTGTGCAGCTTTTGCAAACAATGGTGCGAAACAACAGAATTGAGGTGGTAAAATGGATAACCACGGTATGGTATTCCATTCTTGTTTCACGATTCTTCTAGTGTTCTCATGAGTGACAAAAAACCAGGAAAAAATATATTAACAACAAAAAAAAATTAAAGATACACACATGAATATTAAACTAAGGCATTACGTACCTGATTTCAATTAGTTTCACCTTAATCTCATTATGCGCTTTTCCCCAAATCATGTCAATAGCACTGTTGGCGAGTCAATCCAATTCTTTAGTATCTTATATGCACTCTCAACTCTGCACGTTGTCGTGTTCCCAAGGTGCAACTTTTTATTCGTCCACGTACATACAAACTTCTCTTTGTGCGGTAACCATGTTTCTTTCACATATGTAAGTAGGTCCTTGTAAGGATTTCAACTGCAATACCAAGAAAGTACTTAATCTTACTAATAACAAATATTCTACTTCAAAAAAGAAAAAAAAATAGAATTACTCAAAAAAACTTGTTAGGACTTACAGTTGCTCCATGGTCCTGACTAGTTCTTCATATGCTTCCACAGTTTCAGCTTCCATAATTTCTTACCACCTTCCTTCCCCGCAACTTTTTAACCAATACTGAAGTCCCGCAGTAGAGAGTCTGGATTTTGGTTCTCACATCTCTGTGGATGTGCCATGTGTACAATAAGTGGGTAGACTCGGGAAAAGCATCACTGATTGGTCCTATTAACCGTGACTCTCGATCACTGAATAAAACCTTTGGCTGCTCTTTATCTCTAAGTAATAGCCTCAACTGTAACAACGCCCATCGATAGCTTTCAGCAGTCTCAGGTTCCAACAAAACATAGGCAATCAAAAAGTTCTTATTGTACGGAGTCATCCCGATAAATTCAAAAAAAGGCATTTTATACCTGTTAGTTTTGTACGTGCTATCCATATCGACAACCAAGTGGTACGCGCTATATAACCTCACTGATCCATGGTGCTTCATGAAAACCTGGGTCAAGGCTATTGTACTCGGATCTGACTTCGTTACAATTATGTAGTTGTGTTCCCAGGCCAACCGAAAAGTCCTGTCAGCAACATCAAGACCCATGCCATCAAGTAACACGGACCCCATCTTGCACAGTTTATTTCTGTAGTTGTAAATGTGGCGCTTCGTAACATGGTCATCTGAATACTCCTTTTGAAGTGCCTTTAGAATGTAAATCGGCCTTACTCCCGCTGCAAACATGTCTTCTATCATCTTTTTCACTCCCTCGCTCAGTTTACTCATCTGGCGATGGCCCTTTGGATATTGTATCATCGGATGATTGTGCTCCACCTTTTCAGCAGTCTTTGGACAAATTCTGTACACATCGCTCGGCCATTCTTTATATCTTCTGATGAACACCTCAAATTTACACCCAGTCACTTGGGTCTTCGAATTTAGTCGGCGCTTAGTAGTTCCATCTCTGTACCTCTCTGGCCTGTACCATCCACCTTTCTTGTATTTCAACAAATACCCGTTGTCCTTCTACAAGTCTCTCACTAATTCAAAACCATTGTTGATTGCAATCTCTTGTGCGCGCAAAATAGCGTCATCCTCTGGTTGGAATATTTCATTAGTGTCAAAAGAAACACTATGATCTTCGTTTTCAGCTATAACCTGCAAATTCCAAACATATACTCTAGATAACTTGTTAATAGAATACCTAATTACTCTTACTAAATTAAAAAAAAAACTTAAAATGGCATAAAATAATAAATTTACATGAATAAATAACTTAAATGAATCCTATTCAATTTAATTATGATGCGATAATTAATAAAATATGATAAATTAACCAAATAAATCAATAAAACTGAAATTTAAAAAAAATAAAAGAAATGCTCGGGCTGCCGGGCACATCAGCCCGGGATAAGCGAGCCAATGGACATACCGGTTCGCTCAAGAAGGGACGGCAGCCCCAGCGTCCCGTGTTGCCTTGGACGCTGTGGGCGGTGGCCATGACTACCATGGCCGCCACAGCTGTCAGCCTTGTTGGCTGGCGGCACTGCCGTCCCTGGTCCTAGAAACCGGCAGAAATGCCGTCTAGGCTTAGCCGGGACGACACAACCGTTGTCCCGGTCTATTTCGGACGGTATATCTGTCACGGGCTTACTTTTTCAAAGTAACGGCCGTGCGGCACTAGCACAAAACAACTAACGATCAAGTGCTAGCTCAGCCTTAAGACCCCCAAAGCGTGCAAAGCTAGACAAGACTTTAAAGAACGGAGGCAAAGAAAAACTTAAGAAAGGTCGAAAGTGAAAGAATGATGAAGGCACAAGAGAGCTTAAGGAATGCTTGAGAACTCTACTCAAAGCTTGGATGGTTACAAATGAAGGGGGGGCATGGGGTATTTATAGGCAAACCCCCAAGTCCTAAAGAATTCTAGAGAATTCTATGTACATAATAAAATAATGGGATTCTAGAGAATTCCTACAATAAAATATTCTAAGTTCAAAATATCTACAAGTCTCTAGAATCTTCCACACGGTTCTAGCAAACTCGGGTAGCTTCCACACGGTTCCACTCGTTTCTAGAGAGTTCCGGCTTCTCTAGAAAATTCCGAGTCTTCAAGATTTGACTGGAGAATTCCACAAGGCTCTAGACCGTTCCGTCCCATGTCCGTCTACGAAAATAGCCCGTTTCGCATCAAACCACCCGAATTCGTGGTGAAGAAAACTGTCCGTGACATCCTCCCCACCAAAATGGTGCATCGCCCGATGCACCTAAGTCTCGAAGGCAATGTTGATAGGAATGGGTGCACGATTCTCCTCAAAGTCCTCGATCAATTTGGTGAATTGCCAAAGCTTCTCGATTGGCTCCCAACTCGTCTCACTCATTGGCAAATTCTTCCATTTCACCAAGTATTCTTTAGTTGCTGCCCGCTCCCGCCCGAACGATCCTCTTAGAAAGGATCTCCTCTGCGGTCCGTTCTCATGCTCGCGACGCCACTGGTGCCCTTGTGGGAACGTTCCGTTCTTCGTCCTCCGGGTCCTTGCGGTATGGCTTAAGTAGGCTCACATGAAAGACTGGATGAAGCCTTGAGAAGGCCTCGGGTAGCTCCACTTGTAAGCAACCGAACCCACTTTCTTAAGAACGGTGAAAGGACCTCGTATCGCGCATGAGACCCTTGTGTAGACCACGGCTCCGTCCATGTTCATAAAGCTTCACCAAGACTTGGTCGCCTTCTTCAAACTCGCGACGGTCCGTTTCTTATCCGCCCATTTCTTCATGCGCGCGGTGACTTCTCCAAGTAGAGTTTTGCCTCGTCGGCCCGTTCTTGCCAATCTTTGGCAAACTTGTATGCGGGTGGGCTATTGCCCTTGTAGCCCCCAAGAATGTCCTTAGGCGTAGTCGGTTGGAAACCAAGGATAATCTCAAACGGACTTTTGCCCGTGCTCTCACTCCGCATCAAGTTATAGGAAAATTGGGCAACGTCTAGCAAACGTACCCAATCTTTCGGTTGGCTGCCACATAGTGCCTAAGGTACACCTCCAAGAGGCCGTTGATGCGCTCCGTCGCCCATCCGTTTGCGGGTGCAAAGATGTAGACATCTTGAGCTCCGTCCCAAGCAAACGAAAGAGTTCTTGCCAAAACGGCCGGTGAACCTTGAGTCCCCGTCGCTTATGATCGATGTAGGCAGTCCCCAATACTTCACCACATGCCTAAGAAAGAGTTTGGCCGTTATCTCCACGGTGCACTCTTTTGGGGCGGGTATGAAGACCGCATACTTAGACAAACGGTCTACCACAACAAGTATGTTGGTGCAACCCTCGGAAACGGGCAGGCTCACGATGAAATCCATCGAAACGCTGTCCCACGGGCGTTCCGGAATAGGCAAGGGTGATAACAAGCCATGCGGGTGGTCTTGCTCGGTCTTGTCTTGTTGGCAAACTAGACAAGTCCTTACATATGTCTCCACGTCTTCCCGCATGCGAGGCCAATAGAACCGTTCATGTACTAAGGCAAGTGTGCGATGCGTACCCTGGGTGACCCGCATAACGGCTATCATGGCAATCCCTTAGAATCTCCCTTCTAAGTTCATCCCATGCGGGCACGTACAAACGGTTCCCTTTGGCATAAAATATCCCATCCTCAAGCCAGAACCGCGTTGTCTTGCCTTCCTTCACGAGCTCCATGAACCTTTGGGCTTGACGGTCGTGCTCAAGACCCTTCTTAATGCGATCAACCAGCGTTCCCTCGGGTATGCTAACGATTGGAGCAAGACACGCCTTCGGCTTAGGGCGTCGGCCACGTGGTTAGTCTTCCCGGGCTATACTCAAGCTCGTATTTAAACTCGGCCAAGAAGTCCAACCAACGCGCTTGCTTGCTTGAAAGCTTAGGTTGGCTTTGATGGTAGCTCACCGCCCGATTGTCCGTCTTGATCTTGAATGGTGTGGCGGCCTTCAAGTAATGCTCCCAAACTCTAAGGCGGTGAACTATAGCCAACATCTCCTTCTCGTGCGTCGGCCACCTTTTCTCGGTCTCATTCAGCTTGCGACTTTCAAAGCGATCGGATGACCATCTTGCATGAGAACGCCCCCAATGGCGAAGTCCGAAGCGTCCGTGCACACCTCGAACGGTTTCTCAAAATCGGGAGAGCTAGGATGGCTCTCGAGTGACGGCGTCCTTTAAAGCCTCGAACGCTGTTTGGTGTTTTGGTGTCCAACACCAAGCTTGCCCCTTTTTCAAGAGATCCGTTAGTGGAGCGGCTATAGCGGAGTGCCCTTCAATAAACCGCCTATAGTAATTAACAAGCCCCAAGAACGATCTCAGCTCCGTTGGCTTCGTGGGTGCCTCCCACTCCACGATAGCTTTGATTTTGGCCGGATCCATGCGGATTTTGCCCCTACCAATGATGTGTCCCAAGAACGACACCTCCTCAAGGCCGAAGGAACACTTCTCCCTTTTAACATAGAGCTGGTTTTCCCTAAGGACTTGAAAAACGG